CCTGGGGGGAAGTCTGGAACAAGGAAGATGTGCCCTTGGTAGAAAAGGGCCAGGTCAGGGAATACTTGAACAAAATGGATATATAGTCCATGGGCCCTGGTGGGATGCACCCACAAGTACTGAAGGAGCTGGCTGATGTCACTGCAAGGCTACTCTCAAGAACCTTTGAATGATCATGGTGCCTAGGAGAAATGCCCAAGTACTGGAGGAAAGCAATGTCACTCCTATCTTCAAGAAGGGCAAGAAGGAGGACCCAGGGAACTACAGGCTGGTCAGCCTCAGCTTGATCCCTGGAAAGGTGATGGAGCAGCTAATACTGGAAACCATTTCCAGGCACATGAAGCACCAGAAAGTCAACAGGAGTAGTCAGCATGGATTCACCAAGGGCAAGTCACACTTGATCAACTTGAGAAACTTCTATGATGAAATGACTGGCTTGCTAGATGAGGGGAGAGCCATGGATATTGTCTACCTTGACTTCTGTAAGTCTTTCAGCACTGTCTCCTCTAAGATCCTCATAGAGAAGCTGTTGATGTTTGGGCTGGATGAGCAGACAGTGAGGTGGACCAAAAACCAGCTGAACAGCCAGGCCCAGAGGGTGGTGATCAGTGGCTTGAACTCTAGTTGGAGGCCAGTAACCAGGAGTGTACCCAGGGGTCAATACTGGGTCCAATCCTGTTGAACATCTTCATTAATGATTTGGATGATGGGGCAGAGTGCACCCTCAGCAAATTTGTAGACAACACCAAACTGGAAGGAGGGACTGATATGCCAGAGGGTCATGCTGCCATCCAGAAGGACCTGGACAGGCTGGAGAAATGGGCTGACAGGAGCCTCATGCAGTTCAACAAGGGGAAGTGCAAAGTCCTGCACCTGGGGAGGAACAACCCCAGGCACCAGTACAGGCTGGGGGCTGCCCAGCTGGAAAGCAGCTTGGCAGGAAAGGCCCTGAGGGTCCTGGTGTATGCCAAATTGAACATGAGACAGCAATGTGCCCTTGCAGCAAAGAATGTTAATGGTATCCTGGGCTGCATTAGAAGGAGTGTTGCCAGCAAGCTGAGGGAGGTGGTCCTTTCCCTCTACTCAGCACTGCTGAGGCCACACCTGGAGAACTGCGTCCAGTTCCGAGCTCCCCAGTAGAAGAGAGACATGGACACACTGGAGAGAGTCCAGCAAAGGGCCACTAAGATGATGACAGGACTGGAGCAGCTCTCCTATGAGGAAAGGCTAAGAACTGGAACTGTTTAGCCTAGAGAAGGCTTGGGGGGGATCTTATAAATGTGTACAAATACCTGAAGGGAGAGTGCAAAGGAGGAGCCAAGTTCTTTTCAGTGGTGCCCAGTGACAAGACAAGAGGCAATGGGCACAAACTAAAACACAGGAGGTTCCTCCTGAACACCAGGAAACACTTTTTCCTTGTGAGGGTGACCAAGCACTGGCACAGGTTGCTCAGAAAGGTTGTGCAATCTCCATCCTTGGATATTCAAAAGCCATCTGGATGTAGTCCTGGGCAGCCGGCTCTAGGTGGCCCTGCTTGAGCAGGGTGTTGGACCAGATGACCTCCAGAGGTCCCTGCCAGCCTCAACCATTCGGTCATTCTGTGATTCCAATGTTAATCAGAAGCAGTTAAAAAAAGCCAAGAAAAAAATTAGGACTCAAAAACTTCCACATGAATAAACTGAAGCCAGATCAGGCTGAAATCACTGCCCTTATGCCAAGAGATCCAGAAGACAGATGTTAAGTCATTTTTATCTTTCTTACCATCCTCAGTAAGAATTGTGCAAAGGATTAATCACAAATTACATCATCACTTGACCAGGTTACATGACTGCAAGTGAAGAATAAGTTCCAAGTAACTCAACAGTAAGAAGCAAAAAAGGTTAAAGACCAGTATTTCCTGGACATATTTTAATCTCACTTCTAAGTATAAAATACTGGTATAGTAAGCAAGGACTTTGTATAAACAGTAGATAAATAGAAATTCAAAAAGGATGCTGCCCGTCTTTATTGTGGCTGCTTCAGAAGACAGTCATGTTGTTAAGCTTTTGAATTAAAACATTGGAAAACTTATCATTTGCCTGCCTTTCTATATGGGCTTATTCTTTCTCTATACTGAGGGACTCAAACTGCTGAAGTAAGGCAAGTCTTGGGCAAACACCACATTTACCCCAGTGAATACTAAACTACTGCACAGAAGAAATAAAAGCATAGTTCATGCCTCTTCAGGCCACCCTTTTAAAAAGTGATTCGTGCCTCATTTTCAAAAGGAGCAACATTACTAAGCACAATGTTAGATGCCTCAGTAGTTGAAAGGGACAAGAGAGGAGACACCTCACCACATTAGTTAAAAGACCTTCCAGCTCAGTGTGATGGCTGTTGAGAATTCTACCTTCTTTGAGCACAAATTCCAGATACTTCTTGAACTACTGACCTAAAAAAGCATCAGGTCTTAACCATATTTAATCCAGAGTTCTTCATTTTTTTGGTTTTATTACCTAGCTCCATTTTTATCTTTTGAAAAAAGTACACATTAGACTATTTAATTTGAATTACATGAATTCTCAATTCAGTGTTGTTTTCAGTGGCCAGCTCTATTGCAATTTCATACCTACTTACAAACACCACAAGTAAGTAACAACATATACAATTTCTTGATTTACAATTCCTCCATGAAAAAAAACCTTTAGCTATCCTACCCAAGAATCTTTTGGGTCTCACATTATTAGTAACTTGTTTTGTCCGATTTATGCAAAGAAAATACATCCCTCTGAGTCGCAAGTCCTGGTAATATTTCTAACTGAAATAGCAGAGGTTTTTAATCCATATTTGAATCTATTCTTATAATGGTTGCTCTATGATGGGAGACTATAATGAACTCCCATAATTTATCCAGTGAAGCCTCTTTGCCTTCATTCTCTAAAGTGATTTTTATCCAAACACTGTCTCACCTATATTAGTTCTTACTTCTTTCTAGTCTCTCATTTCATTCTCATACGTCCATTTAAAAGGCAAACATGGAAAAAGTAAGGTCCAAATCTGTGGGTTTAAGTTAACATTTATGAACAGCAGGTAATTAACACTTACAAGCTGTTTTAGAATTTAAAATAAAATTAAAAAAAACAATGCTCCAAATAATCTCAGAATTTCTCAGTCTTTATAAAAAAATCTAGAAGAAAATAAATTAACTGACCTTGCAGAACACATCCAGCTTGGCAAAGTATTAAATAGTAAAACCATATTCAAATACAGTAATTTAGATCAGCTTGTTAACATGGTGTTACAGGAATTTTGCTAAAGTCAAGGTCTTAGATTCCCTAACTGAAATGCGGGTCAGACTCGCAGAGTGAGAAACTGTACACAGAAGCAGTATTAAAGTGACTTAAGGATGATGGTGGATAACCTGCTGAGTACAAGATACTAATGCAATGACATGAAGAACATTAAAGCCCTCCCTCCCTGTGCAAGGCAAGGAAAGAAAGTGTGAGTAAGGGAACAGTATTAAGAATATTCCCTGCTATCCTTGTTAGTGAAGTACATGCATATAACCTTGAAAGTAAGGAAAATTATCAAAAAGCAGTTTAGCTACTACAGCCTACCATTAGGTAGGTAGGTACGTTAGTTGACAGTAGGTACGTGTTCTGACATTCTGCAAATGTGAAGCAAAACATGACAACAGTTTAAGAAAACATGTTTTACTTTCCATTCATAACAGGTTAACATGTCGCAGCATTTAAGCCAACACATTTTACCTCAAAATTCAAAATTCATATTTACTATAACTTATTTCTAATGCACCTAAAAAAGCACATAATTTAATATAGTAACAGACTGTAGAAGGAATAACCTGTTAACAATCCAGTAGCTTGAAAATATGTAATCATAGGTCCACATGCTTTACTTTCCTGCACAGAAGTCTTAATGTATATTGGAAACATGAACAGTCACATACTGCCTTTAAAAAAAAAATACTTTCTCTGTAAGAGACATATTAAGGTGGTACCTATCCCTGAAGAGCTTAAAGGCATTATGAATGATACATCAGAGGTTACAATTGTTCTAATATGTGTACTTACTCATCTTAAGTCCACTGTCTTTCTCCTGCAATAGAAATTATTTCACTTCTAGAATGAGAAAGCTGGACTTCAAAATTTAATCTTTGCTTTAGAGTACTATGAATATTTATAGTACTCCCACAAGACTCCCAAAAACAGTACAGATCACAAACTTCACACAGTATTCTCAGCACTCCTGAAACACTCCATTAAAACTGAATATATGAGTCCATGAACTCACAAGCATCACCAGAAAGCAAAATAAATTCAACTTGAAGTGTTTGACTTTAAAAACTTCAGCCTCCCCAGTTCATGCCAACCAGTCAATATGGTATATGTTCCTCCTTCCTGATCAAAGTGCCTTATACAAACTGGAGACACACAAGAATGCTGAAATACAGAAATAGCATTCAAAAGGGAACACAGTACCTGAGATTTTTTTAAATTATTAGTTGTTGAACATTCTTTGCCTCCGCCTCAAGACCCATCTACAGATATATCCCTAAAATGTAAAACCTATTTAAATCAAGACTCTCCACTATTTCCAGTTTATTTGTCATTAATTTTTTTTATTTTTCATCAATTTTAGAACAATTTTGGGAAGTGGGAAGAGACTCTCAATAAATTCTTTCCAAAGAACTTCTGATAGTACTGGACAATGATCTGAGTATAATCACTGGGGTTTTTTTGGGGCGGTTTAAAGAACTTTTAAGCATTCTGAAATTTTGGCTCTTCATAATCACTATTCAGTTTCTAGACAGTTTAAAAAAGGTAAAAAGGAGCAGTTTCATAACATCTGTTAAACACAACAGTCACTTGAACAATTCCACTATGTCTTAGATTAGGAGCTTAGTACCAAGCTTTTACAAGTAATTAGACGTTTGCAGAATTAACAGGTAATGACAGCTAGGACTCCAGCAGAATAAGAGAGAAAGACATACTGCTTACCTGTACACCTGAACCATGGCTTCCACTTTTTGAAGCAAACAAACAATCCTCAGAATCAACTGCAAGCAAAACTGAAGCAGAAGGAAAAAGCTCAGAGACAGATCCTTGACTGAAGTTTATAGCCTCTGGATTTTTTTGACCATCCTTTACTGATTCACTCAGATTGATCACTGAATCTCGTATGTTTGAAATAATCTCATTATTTTCTGCCAACAGGCGTTCTAAATGATCTATTTTTTCTTGCAAAATTGAAAGCTGGCCCTGTAAAAAAAAAAGTAAAGTTTAATTATTTCTCAGACTAATTCTTGACAGAATTAAAAATAAATTTCACAATAGTATACAATCACACAAAAAAAAAGAAATACATCTTTATTCTATATTTTACGTAAAGACAAACTAATAAGAAATTGAACCAACATATGAAGCCTTCTCTTTTCAGAATAAGTGAAAAGAACAGAAGTTACATTTTCCACTATGAACTTGAATTCGTGGCACAAGATTTAATCAGTGGTACAAAGATATTCTTAAAGGTCACACTGTTTCAAGTACCAATTATGCCAACTTCTACTTTTTTCATGTCTATCATAGATTCGCAAAAATCTGATCTTTTCATTTATCATCACATTAGAACATCAAAGGGAAAGCCATTTTTTAGAAGGCAGTCACATCATGATGGGATTAATAGGATATATACATTCTAGGTTTTTTCTGTACATGTAAAATAATATTTCAATAAATACTGAGTTTCTTATTTTCAGTGAAATTTAGAGAGAAATTAACAAAAGCACTTAATGGTTGTAAAAGATCCTGTAACAGCCTGATCATAGTAATAATCTGTATAATTGGACCATTGCAAACGTCAAGATAATCCTGTAAAAGACAGCTCAAACTGATAGCACTTTCAGTCAGAAGGCCATATTCAGTTGCCAACCAACAGGATTTTGTAGATGATTCTAGTGTGCGCCACAAGAGGAAGGATCTAGGATAACATCTATGTGAATTGAAAGAAGTCAACATATCTCCCAAAGCAACTTGGAAAGACAGACAGATACCACAAAACAATTTAATAGCATCTAATCACTGTACTGTTGGAATACAGGACAGAGCATAGCAGAACAAGATACCTGGAAACGCTACTGCCCTCTCATGTACTAGCCACTCCTTCCAAATGATTTGAGGTATGCTTTTTTTTTTCAGGAATGAATGTGTTAGCTTTTACAGAATCATAAGAGGCCAGATTATTTAACATGTTTTTAGGGATATTTCATCTTAACAGTATTTTTTTTTTCTTTCCTCAGACTGACTTCAACCTAACAATAATAAGAAAAGATAGAGAACAAAAACCAGTCACTTCCTATTATTAAAGTTGTGGTCAGACCCCAAAATATACAATGTATGATTAAGTTTTTTTTCAGGAAGCTGTCATTACAACAAAACCCTCTGCGGATTCAGGCATTTACATTTTACCCATTACATTCAACACAAGTAACATTGATTCAGTAGACAGCTATTCTGTGACCTATGATTTTAATGACAAGTAAAACTTTTTCCTAGCACCAATGCCTTATTTTCCAAGTAGTATAGAATAATATCAGAAACAAAACCTGTACATGACACTTTTTTCCCCTTTGATAATAATTTACTTGAGGCCTTTGCATTTTCCTTCTAAGAGACAAATTGCTTTCCTCAAATGCCAAGTTAATTCCCACTCCTGTAGTTAGGCTGTAGTTTGCAAAGGATTAAGCCTCCTTTCTAAGTTGTGATATGCAATTTCTTTTAAATTCTGTTCGCTTTGGGAAGTCTGCAGGAATAAAAAACACCCCTTACCAAGAGATACCAATCAGCCTTTTGGTTTCTACTAAATTGCCATTCCTATAATTCTATCTTTATGGAAGTTCTTTGTAATTCTGCAGAAGATACAGTTTAGGTTTTTTTAACCTGTTAGTAAGTTTGTCCCCTCACTTTCTGGGCTGTGTAAAGTGCTCACCCACTGCTTTGGTTTTTTTCTTAGACTGATACATCCTGAAAACAATAACAGGTTTTAAAATGCAACACAGGCAAACAGTTACTGCTTCCCAAAAGACAAAAATATATTTTGACAACGGATCCAGATTAAGCTAATTGAGATGTAGGGCCAACATCCTAGAATCTCAACAGTTTAGAAACAAATACTAGAAACTTATAAAATAGGTGAACTGAAAACAACAGGAAATCAATATGCAGATGATGGGATACTGGACAGAAAAAAACTGTAGTCCCATGCCCCCTGGTGGCACAAAAGAAACAACCAGACTGAAATCTTTCAAATAATACATTAAAGATAGTGTGCACACATTTCAGTATAAAATTAGTATTTTCCCTTTCGATGTCTGCGACATTTTAAAAAAAGGAAAGGTTTCTCTACTCAGACAGAAAACTAATAGCCTATTATGCCACTCACCCTAAAAATAACATAAATAAAATAATAATGATTGGAGCTTTACAGGCTGCCCAACATAGCCTCTGATCTTTAGATTTCTAAGACGCTAAAGAATAACTGCCATCTATACAAATTATGACCTGCTTCACTGCACATGACTATAGTTCACCAAAGTTACCAAGTTTTTAAGCGCTAAAGTGCTGTTCACACCTATGCCACTACTATATACGCTGCCTCTACAACTGTAAAATCGGACAACTGTTTAAAATTTATATTCTCATTCACGTATGTTCTAGAAATATTTTACATTCCTACAAGAAAAGAGTTTCATATTGCTTAGCAATAGCCTGTCAACTAGCTGGTCATAGATTACACCACCAATCTGCCTTATGTCATCTAGCCAAGTATAGTCTCTCCAGCACTGGCCAATGGGGGGGGAGGGGGGGGCAGGGGGATAAAACCCACATTAAGAAACACCAAACACATGATTAGACTGATCCTCCCATTGGCATACACTGCCAACCTCTAGCAGTCAGATACAAACTTCCAATTTGGAGGTCGTGTCATACTTCGGATCTCTAAGATGGACCTGTCGTTTAACTTATTGTATCTTAAACCTTCAAATATCTATGATAACAAGTTCTACCATTTTAAGTGTTTATTATGTGAAAAAAATACTCCTCTTCGTAAACTAAGTTCCCTGCTTCCTGTGTCACGAGAAATAGTAATTTGTTCACTGATAATCTTCAAACAACAGTGATTTTATACATTGCTATATACTTCCAGCAATAATTTAGTTTTAAGGTGGAGAGTTCAAGCCTACCTAGGACTCTGAAGAGTAGTGATTTTTACAAGTATGTTAAAGTATGCTACTTTAACTTTGGAGGTAGGTATTCTGTTATTTGGAGAAAGAAATCCTCACAAAGATCTCCCATTGTGGAAGTTAACAGAGGACATTGATAAAGACAACCCTGCTTTCTTTTCTGACGACTATGAGATGCATCATGCCTCTCCTAGTGCATGGCATATTGAAATGCTTTAACTCAACTTGCATGCAAAACATGAAATAAAAAGCTACAGTTAAGAACACGTAACTATGACCTCATGCAATACCCAAGTTAAAACTGACAGGCAACCAAAACTTTTGAGATTTTAAAAATATTTTCAATTTCTGTTGTGAAACGCATCAGCCATGAGAGTTAACTTTAAGAAACAGTGCCACAAAATAGAAACAGATCCCAGTTTTCATTCAGTATGAAAATAGTTAATGCCAGGAATCCATTCTCAGGTTGGAAAATTTCACATGGATCCAAATTATGCAAAAGCTAGGTCTATTTCCATTGCACATTCACATTTTCTCCTTACTCATTTTAAATAGATAGGGGTAGACAATGCCTAGAATGTAGTATTCAATAGTAGAGTTATTTTAAAATATGAGCTAAACATGGAAAGTATTGCAACTCTTCAAGACAATGAAATTAAATATGAAAATAAAGGAAATTCAGTTTCAACATTTTTAGAGGAAGGCAACCGACTTACACTGCCCAACTTCAAATATCAAGGCCAAATAGTACAAAACAGTGAAGTTACTCTAAAAATGTTTCATCTTATTGATTGCTAGTAACAGACGTTGATTAACTAGTAAAACAGATTAGAAGCATGTTACGGGGGGCATTAAATAGGTCTAATTAAAAACCAAAACACACAGGACCTCTATAATACTAAAAAGGTACTCCTAACAGTATTTTGTTTTAAACTAAGTTTGAAAATTTTCCACGCATTTGGGGGTGAGTAGGGGGGAATTTTATTTTTCTGTGAGCAGAGATGCACCAATTTTACCTTAACCAATTCTGCCTGAAATTTTGTAACCTACATGGCTTTGTAGATACTGGATAGCAAAATTTGGCTAGCTGCACAATTCATAAATGTCAGCAGACTTTCCCCTGAGTTTACAGCATCAAGTCTTCTCAGAAAAGAAGCAATCCTGATCCAAGACTTTGAGCACAGAAAATTGGAGGTACGCTGTCTGGGTAAGTCCAAGTGAACATCATTAAAGGATGCCCTGTTAATCTACATACTTGTTTTAACATAAGGAAATGCTATGTAAAGTTGCATGAATCACCCAGCCTATACAACCAGTTGACAAGTTTATAACAACTTTGGTATAAACTTCTTTCTTTCATTTCTCTCCGCCTTTATATATTGATAAGATTGTGCAAATAAAGGTTTTATTAAAAAGCAAGAAAGGCAACCCTGCTGTTACTCCACAGCAAAGCAACTGTTTCTACAAGAACTGCAAAGTACCAACAAATCCAACAGTCCCGAAAGTAGATACAAGCTGCACTGGTATAAGAATGGTACCACACGAGCGGCGCATCTGTTCACCATCCCCACGTTTACATTGGGTTGGACTTAACCCATGAAGTCTTCCCATGTGAGGACAGCACAGACCAGCACACCCTCCTCCCATTTGGAACAAAAACTGTCCATACCTGCTAGCTGCACTGAGCAACCTGCCACTTCCACCACATGAACCAGCTATGTAAACAGTTCCTTATGCTTCAGTCAGTCTGAACCCTGCAGCAGTTTTCATGCCCCAAATACTCCAAAGCAGTCTGCTTTCCCACTGCCCTCTGTTTGTCCTTCTCTGTTTGCTTCTGACACTGGTCTGATCTGTAGCAAGGACTCTCTCCAGAAAGGAGCATACTGCCACCCAGCACAAGGAGGGAAGTCCAGTAACACAATGAACAGTCAAGCTGCTTTATTCTGGGGAAATGGAGAATGGACAGTTTCTCACACCTAAACATTGTACGTTGCAGAAAGGGTATTACTTGCAACTTTC